AAACCCTAAACCCTAAACTATAGTGCGACCTTTTGGGATCCCCAAAAGGGTGCCCGTGGTTCGGGAGGCCTCCAAGTAAAGCTTGCTCCAAGTGGCTAGGTACAGCTGGCCGAACTTCTGCCGAGATTGATCAACCTCTTGGGTTGAAGTATAGACAGGGTTTAGGGTTTTAGGNNTTAGGGCTTAGGGGTTTAGGGCGTACCATGGTATCCTCCAAAAAAAACATACTCGACTGCCTCTACGTCAAGACTGGGATGCGTTCCTGTAACTTTTTAGTTAGGCGAAACCTTACTTGAAATTATCGGGATAGTGCCTTAACTACTTTGGTCCTTTTACCCTGCCCTGTTCGGCTAGCAGTGGGGGGTTTGCGATTTAAGCCTCCGTTGCCTGCATCCTCACTGCATGGGCTTTCTCAACCCAAAGGTCCACACACCAGAGGTGAGTAATACACTATCCTACTGCTAAACTGCACACCTACCTCCTCGCTTTAAGAATGGACAAAATATGCACGGGGGGAAGTAATTACATCTCCAGCCTCGCAATGCAATGAATTTGGGGCTGACAACGAAAGCGAGGATGAATAGCAACAAACAACAAATAGTTGAAGGTTCTGCCATCTTAACCACCTCCGCCGTTACTACGCCCCCCAGCCTTAATTCAGCTTAAATACGCCTGATTAAGGGTAATCTTGGGTGGAATTGGAGAGGGCGGTGGTACCTATCCATACTTCGTGGCTGATACTCGAAAGCAGGCCCTCCCCAAGATTCTGGTACACCGATTGTGAGGGGCTAGCTCCACGTAGCCATCCACGTGTGTGCGCGCATTCCAAAGATATATGACCCTACGCCCCCTACAATCCGCCCCCAAATCGTCTGCACTGTTATGTCTCAAGTGCCTCTAGGAGCAAGAAGCCCTTCGGGTCCACGTACCTCATATTCATATACCCATCCCAAACCTGTACTACAATTGCTNNNTACATGGACCCTTATAGGGAAGGAGGATGCTCCTCCTCAAACTTGGGCACTTCTAGGAGCCCGCTACAGCGCGCCTTTCAGTAGTCTCAACATCTTCAGTGACTATAATCTCCCTGTATGGCTTTGGGTATATTCGCCACCGAGGCTATCCTGCCTCAGGGCGTATGGACCCCTTAAGAACCCCCTCTGACCACTCTGCTGGCACCCCCCCGCACCCTCCCATAGTCCAGCCCACCATCCCACGTGAAATTCGAACCTTGCCCTCTCTCCCTGCATGCAACAAGTCTGAAGTGAGGCTTGCCT